TTACATACTTTTAATGAAAACGTGTGTGAGTTGTAAGTGATATCTACAAAATATATCAATTTATATCTCTTATGACATCTACCTTCCACTTTCCTTTAGACATACAATATGTATGATATATATTATAGCAAGATAGGTCGTGTGAAACGTTTTGTTATAGTTCTAAATCATTGATATTCGCCGATCGTAGCGTCGCGTCATGTATGGACGCCCAAAGCTTGTTCACGTTTCGTACGGTAAGCAAGTAAATAAAATGCGGACCGTTAATTGTTTTTTTTTTGATGTTGAAAGGTAACGTTGAATATTCAAAAATAGAAAAAGGCAAGTACCTCACTGAGTTGGCGGTTATTATTCTCGAAGTAACAGGAGCCACAAGTATCCGATTATTATCGTATTTGTAGCTAAATTGTGTTGCTGGGATTTTGAAAACTGTTTATATGAGAGTTTGTGCAGTTGGATATTTTCCATTCGCATCAAGAATGTACTATTTTAATTTTTGAAAATCGAGTTTAGGTATCTATATTATATTAGTAGTCTCATTCATCTGATTATTTTAATAAGTTTACTCAGTCAAATAATCTAACGGAGCACTATATAAATGATTTCATGAACAAAGATTTCATTGTCTGAATGGAAACGTAACCATTTGGAATATTTGATTATATTTTATATTTGCTTCATATCGTACTTGTATACCTTGTTTTACCTATATCTGTATATTCATAGACTTTATTACAGTATATTTAACTTAATTTTCTGACGTGCGGTTTGTAATTTTATCGACACGTTTTCTTGTAAATTCCTAAAAGTGGTGCTAAAAAGTGACCCTTAGTAAGCTACCCCAGTCATAATAGTAATATTGTATTAATTTTTAATGAATCAAAGAACATCGAAATATACTGTGTTGCCGACCGTAGTCGGGAGTAAGTAAGCCAAAGCCTTTCTCCGAAACATCCGGCTGCGCAAACGCGCGGAATGGACCGGTCAGCTGATTCATAAGTATAATTGGTTTTTATTTAGGTACTTCAATTAATATTAGGATGGCTAGCGAGATTGTTTATAAATTTTTCTAAAACTTGTTTACCTTTCTAGTCTACCTTACGTTGTTTTAATTTCAAATGTATCACAAATAAATAGTTCACTGGCTACAACTTAAAGAATCCTTATACTACTTGTACTATAGCAATGATTTTGAATTTGAGGGCGCTACCCGGAACTATCAGAACTAAACTAACTGCAGTGTACAAGCGAATAGCGTAAATTATATCGTATTTTTATGCACATATTCATATATTCAACAGATCGGTTACATAACAAAACCAGCTGAATATTTAGTAGAAATAAATTTCTATGGGTTTGTGACTTTCTACCAATCAAGCAAATCAACTAAATTATATTTTATGCAAAGTACACGATAAAAAATGTACTAGATTTTTCGCCTGAATCTCTCCATATAAAAAAAAATCATTTCTTAAACTGGTTAATTCCGGAATTGAACAGTGATTGCTTAACCTACAAAGGTCTCCGAAATTTTATTCTTTTCTACTTTACCTGCTCCAAAGGAAAGTTAGTAAAGAATTACCTAAAGTAAGAAATGGTAGGAATTATAAAAGAAGATACGGTACATTTTCTCATTAATAAGGCTGTATACCTATTGTAGCAAAAGTTTTTGGTTAAACAGACATAAAGTGAATGAGGAAGTTTCAGTCAGTCAGAAGGAAGTCACACGTTTTTGAATCCATCTGCATATAAATTGCTTAAAATAACTATGTCTTTGTTAAATTTGAATTATGAAGTCATGCTCGATTTGTTGTGGGTTTTAGAGATTTTTAAGAAATAGTTCTATGTTTACGTTATTTCATATTTTAATATGCATATTTATAAATAAACTATCCTCAGAGTAAATGTAGTAAGGAAAATTTGTAGTGGAATAAAAGTTTTGTCACCTCAATTAGTACGAAAACTGCCTGCCATTAGTTAACCTCCTCATAAAACTACTTTTGGGCTATGCCTTTGGGGAATAATTATAGGGAAATTTCAGCGTTCCGGTTTTGAACGGTAAGGGTGCTGGTGATATTACAAGCACATGGGACTTGTCAACTTATATCTCAGGGTAACGGGCGTCGTGGCAGTGCCGCTCAGATCTTTGCGATTTAAAGTTCTAAGTGGCACTGCAACTGCTATGGACAGGTGTGTCTATTTACCATCAGGCGCACGACTTGTCTGTTCCGTGAAAAGAAAATCGTCTTTAGAGCTATAATGAAAGCGTAATGGTACGATGTGTAGAAGGTTCGAGTACACGGTAATCTTTTTTCGTTCAGTGTACTCCCAGTACTTTTCTCACTTTTCTGCCTGACAATCTACCCTTCCAATGCGTTTGTATGTGTGTATGTGTGGGATTGATTATACATATTCATTTTTGTTGTACGTACCTTGTATAACTTAAGTAAATAATTGCAATAATTAACTTTTGCTGTAAAACAATTACATTTATTTCTTGAATTTAACACTAAGTATTGCTATTGAATGTGTATAACACAAAGCGTGCAATTTACTTTAGTGTTTTAATTATACTAATGTGTTGGTCCTTTAAATACATTAAAAACTCGTTTTTTCATTTTATTGGTAACAGGTAACCAAAAAAGATAAACTTATACCTATTACAATATATTTATTTCATTGAACATCATAATGTTTTTACTACCAAGATATCGGAAAAAGCCGTTTAAACCCAAACATCTACAACAAGCACATAAAGAAATCCGTAAGATCGGCTGAACCGATCTGTAGCTCAATAAGAGCGGCAGCCGCGGCAAGGCAACAGACGTTGGTTCGAGTCCAGTCGGATGGATGTTTGATCTTTGTATCAATATTCATATCCATTAGACAAATATTTACTAACATGCTTCGTGATAATAATAATCTTAGAATAAGTTCGAAAGTGAACGGAAAACCGCTTTGATGTGACTTTAGTAAATTTAAAGGAAAATTTTAAGAAATACGTATGTATACGTACATAAATATTATGCAGGTAATTATTTCCGTTTTGTAGTGTCAATCAGTATTCATCTTATTTAATGACACATGTCCCACTACTAAGCATCTTCTAAGTAGAAAGATTTTTAGACAGAATGTCCCCAATCAGTGTTTGGGAGCTAACATGTTTTCAATGGTTAATGTAAAACTTCTCTAACGTATGGGTTTCATTCCGATGTGTTTCTCACGGACAAAGTAAGTGGTAAAAGTCAAATACAATCAATTATTGTAATCTGCATATGACTCGATTAGAATCAATAAATAGAAAAATAGAATCTTTCGACATAGAAGAGAAGCAATATCACAAATAGATTGAATAATGTAAATGTGTTTATAATGATTACAATAAAACTGTGTTAGATTAAGTTTTACACCGACCTTATTGCTACACCTCTACCACCGCAAAGCAAGTTACAAGTTTACTACTGTAAAATGATGTTATTACAACATTTTTGTCAGATTTTTTATAAACCACACAAAGTTCGTACAAGGTTATGTTGTATCTGTTTTGCAATGTTGTACAATCTCGCTCATCTACATTATACTATCGAAAAAGAATACAACTACGTGCAATTTTTACATCACGCTAGTAATTTTGAATATCTCTATAATTCTTCATCATAAAATGCAAGTCTATTGTTGCTAAATTTGTAATTTACAGATGATACAGAATTGAAACAATTCTGGAAGCAAATTTGAACGAAGATTATCTACGTTTGCAAAAGTAAATGGATCTGTTATAGTCAGATTGTTTTGCATAGGACGGAGTGAAATCTGGGTCACCTTCGTCTGACGAATAATATCCTGGACGAGTCACGGCTTGTAGCGGAAAATGGTTAAACTACCAATATATGTATCTGGTCACTGTATCAAAAAATCAAAAAGCATTGCCTTCACTGTATCATTAAATACTAAAACAGATCTGTTGTAATAAGTGCTTCCTAGTGTTGTACGAATCAAATAGTGCTGGCACTAGGGGTAACAGAATTGATTGGTTTGTTTAGTGTTTCCTATTAGTTTTAATGTTACTTTTTATAGGTAAGTATATAACATAACCAGCACAAATATTGATCATGTCTAAGATTGGGAAGTCCAAATTGCAGGTATGCTAAAGACCTATGGGACACATATTAAACGTTAAAAAGACTGATGGAGTCCGAAACACCACGCTGCATCCAAAACTCGTACATCTAGCTAAAATGGGACTGGGCTGACAACTGCATTATGCATTCAGAGGGATGGGCCTGTGTTACCATTCAATGGGTGCCACAAGATCGTCGTCGATGACGCGACAGGTCGAGGCGTTTTTGAGTGACTGGCCAGAGGTTACTGTGGATAGAAAGAGTTGAAAATCCGAGGAAGAGGCCTTTGGTCAGCAGAGGATTACTATTGCAGACTAACTTACGTAAAGTAAATAAAACCGTCAACATATCATATCACTCACAGCCTCGTACGTCAAGAATAACAAAAATATAAATATAAAAGTTGAAAATAATATTTAAGCTAAGAAAAAAATCAAAGACACAATAAAAAATTCAAACGTAAAATAACAAACAGATGACTAGAAAACAAAATCACAAACAAAACAAAAATAAAATTATAGATTATTCACGTAAATACTACTAAGGATAAAGATACTTTTTGTGGTGCAAGCTGCGGTAACAAAAGAATCACTAAATCAGTATTTGCTGGATAACTCAATGCGGTCCCAGAACTGATTTTCAGTTAGATTAAACGCATTTCATTTTCATACTTACAATAAAGGCCAAGCTTAGGTCGTCAGTTTAGTTTTCTTGAGCCAAGAATGTCGACAAAATTTATATTATGCAGGCATTATAATCCTGCACTGTACTGTCCTGGTGTATGATGCATGTGTCTAAATTGAATAAATAACAATTCTTTAGACAACTTCATTAGGTATGACATGACTTTAACGTCTTTAACAACATTCCTGTGCTTTTCAGAAATTGTCCAGCCAACATGCGTTCTCGAGTCTGACTTCGGATTCAAGATCAACTGCGCGTTCAAAAAGGCAGGACTTTTCAGAGTTCGAAATCTAGGAGGAATCAAGGCCCATGCAAGTTTAGGTAAGATTTTATACCAATCCCGAGACAACTAAAGTTTGGCGTGGCGAAACACTAGATAATTGCGTATTTATATCAGACGTCAGGTAGGTAATTACAAAAACAAAGTGTCCTTTTCTACTAGTTAGCATCATAGCAAGATTATTTTGTTGTAAAGTATCTGTAAATGAGAGGTAAAGAACCTTAGGTGCCACACAGTAATTTTTACTACAGAGCGTTTTAAAGAGAATAAGGCTCTTAATTAGGTCAAATCAGGTAAATTTTAAGATAAAATTAAATATAAATTTTAAATAAAATTAGGTAAATCAATCTTAATTTCAAATAAAATATGTTTAATAAAAAATTAACAACGATACGACTCAATGTCTTGTACCATTGCATGATTTTTAGTATTCTAAAGCAATGTTTGTAAAAACATTCTAAATTCCAAAATATGGACTTCAGGTCCTTTACCTCTTATCTACGGGTATTTTTATCACACTTATCTGTTTCCATGACGACACTAATCAATTATTTAACCCCTAAGCAATGACGTAATTACCTACGTAGATAATTAATTTTAAAATATAATTATATTTTGAAACAATGTATTTTTAGAAACACAATTATAACTTTCAATTATTTACTACATAATTGCAAAAGCGAAACTAATAACTGTGCGCCATGTGGCTAGCGAAAGCAAAGCGAATCATGTTTCGTCTTTCGTGCAAGTATCAATCGTCTAAGCTGGTTTTGATCAGTGTATCATAAAATTTGAATAATTACAGCGACCTATAGATTCACTGTGAATAGGAAAACTAATTCATCACAGGCTTTTTGTCTCAATGTTCTTTATAATTTTATTATCATTGCCTCTTGAGTGACGTAAGTACAATGTAGAATAAATAGATCTGCATGGCTTAATTTCTAATTCCAACACGAATGCGTTTCTTCGCCTTTCATTCATCAGTGGATTATGCGTCGACAAATTCTAACAATCGTCGATACTTTCTCCAGCGGATTGATGAATGACCAGATTTGGCATTAACGAAACCCTAGTCACACTGACACAAATGTCTGTTGTCTGGTTTGTCAGAACATAATTACTGTTTCACTATTCGCACCTTATGCTAAGTGTATACTATTGAATGTGTTTGTGCAAAGGAATTTGATTCATATTGTAGCATAAAGAAAGAAACGAAACTTGGCATTACTTTAAAGATATAACATTAAATTAATTAATAATTGAATTTAAATTTAAATTAATTAAGAAGTAAAAGAACAATTTTTTTAAATTTTATTATCTTAGGGGAGGTTACAGCTACTCTTACATGGATGTATGAATGTAAATAATCAGATGCCAATTAAAAGCTCACATATGAAAATTAGAAAATAACACTACCATAAATAACTAAATAACACGAGACATGTACAATTATGTTGTTGCCAAGTAAACCGGATAGTCCCTACGTGTATAATTTGTTTATGCTCTGATTGCATGCACATGGTATTTGATTCTTCATTTGATTTCGGTATCATTTAATATTTACGTTTCAGGATTTAGCCTGGGTGACGAGTTGGGTTTCGAGCAATCGCTCACCAATTTGGATCAAAGCAGGAGGCGGTCAGTGAGCATCAAGAATGGAGCGCCGTTAAATATCATCGCTGACACTTCTGCAAGGCCCGCTGTTAAACAGGAGGTATGCATTTCAATCCTGTCAACAAGTTCCAGAACTTCTTAAAGGATACATATTATAAATGTACATAATTTGCGATGGTATAGCAACTGCGAAAGAGTTCAGTACAGAACAAATCGTCGGTTTAAAGGCAAAGCTCCTTAAGTTCCATTGAGCTGAATGGGACTTGGTGAGTTTTACTTTTTAACCGAACTGTAGTTATTTTTCTTTCCTCTAACTTTGCGAACAATTATGCTAAAGCGAATTTGTTCTTAAGATAATACAGGAAACAGAGATGAAGAAACCTCTGATATTTCTGATGTGCTTCCGTACATACGCTTGCATAATTTAAAGGAAACGAGAACTTTGTGGTTATCGCTGAGGCCAACGACTGTCTAGCGTAAATAAATCGGACTGAACAATAACTGACAATGAAATCAAGTTCATTACGGTTTATAGACCTTCGTTTTCGCCAAATATTTCAATCATTCCACTACTCGAGAGTGTTCGGAACTTTTTTAGAGACAATCCTTTATTTACATAAGTTGTTAAGATTTGCTTCAGTAATCTAATCTTTAGTAATCATTAGATGAGTCATAATATTGTCTTATTTTAAAATAGTCTCTTATGAGTTTTGGTAGACAATCAATGCGCTTCATTAAATTATCTTTAACTTATAAGAAATACTATATTTTCCAGAAACGCGGCAAACAGAACAGAATTATGATGCGACCAGTGGCTCCAGCTTCCCGACCAAATCAAGCGGCTATGGATAAGCTGACTAGTTTACATCGACGGGGTTCTAGTACCATGAAGCCAATCATCGTAACAAGCCCCACGGCAGAAGCTCCAGCTACCTTCAATAGAGGGAACCCAACTATAACTATGGCTAAGCCTTTACCAATGGGTGTGCCTCCCTTTAGGCCGTTACCACCTAAAGAAGATGCCCTTCAAGTCTTACCCATCGCCTCTACAACAAGGAAGGCGTTTACACCGCTTCAAGTGCCGCAATCAAAAGGACCTGGTTTACTGTATCAAAGTGAGAAGTATTACCCCCATGTTTCACACGAACATGTCTCAAAAATGGTCTCGCAAATGACAGCATCACACATCGCCCCGCCACTACTCAGAATTACGCCAACACCTATCATAGTTGACACGCCAAAAATATACTCGATACCAACTACAGTTAACCCATTTGTACCCATGCCGATCGCTGCTCTACCCGCACAAGCCTTAACAATCATACCACCACCAATATTTAATCACTCCATTCACTCACGACTCGTTCCATCTAAATCATCCACCTACTTCACTCAAAACACTATTTCTGTCCAAAAAACCAATCCTCTTTCTAAATTTGTAGACCCGGTTCCCCATCAGGTGCACGATCTGGCAAGTATGTACCCTGCTTATAATACCAAAAAGGTCGATGAGTACAACACAATTACTGGTTACGGAGATGATACTATACTAAAGTTCAATAAAGAGGACATAAATGCGAAGATAGCAGAAATAGCTAAAGCAGGAAACATTTCTATGGAAGCAGTAGAAGCTGCGATAGCACTGAGGCAGCAGCAGTTGTTGAACAAGTACGCAAATCTTCCTGTACCAACGACAGCAACAATAACCACAACAACCACGACGACAACTGAAGAACCATTAGTTTTCCAGCCGCAACCTGAACCGGAAATTGTAGTTGCCACCGTCCCTCAAAAGCCAAAGAGGTAAAAAGCTTATACTTTATTTACTTTTTCGTTTGACCATCTTACGGTAATTAATTCTCATTAATTTTTGTTATAAATTTGTTAGACAACCTACTACCGGTAAAGTAATGAATGCTCCACGAGAATACTATCCCGTCGGTTACGAGAAGAACTTCGATGATAATTTTCAATCGAAAGTGGACCTTCCAGAGACGAACTTCCATTGTGGTGATCAAAAATATTTTCCTGGATTATATGGTGACGAAAGTCTTGGCTGTATGGTGAGGTTTACAACTTCGTATTATATATTGCTATTTCTTAGTAATTTCTGATTTCTTAATTTATGTATTTTATTATAATGAAAAGCAATTAATTTGCGGTACTTATAAAACACTCCATTGCTGTGATTTTCTGTTATATTTGTTACGAACATTTCAAACTTATTCCATATAAATGATTCCCTTGATGGTCGCTGGCGTACAATAGAAATGTGTGCGTGTTTTTGCGCGCAGTGTTTTTTTAAATGGGATAGTATGAGGGAAATCTGAAACCGTAGAAGATACAAGGAAACTGTCTTAGGAACCATTAAGTTTTTTTTGTGAAATAATTTCGCCATAGTCAATTTAAATCCAATCCATAACAATGAATAAAATTTCTCATTTTTTTTTAGTGCTGATCGACTCAGCGACTCAGTTTCATTTCATTGTATGGTACGAAAAAATCGGGACAGCAGAAGTTGGTCAAATTTCATAAAATATTTTTTCATACAATATGACTAACATTGATTAATTTTTTAAAATGCAAATAGACTCAGTTTCTTATAAGGATAGCTACATTGTATCGGAAGAAAAAAATTGGGACAGCAAAAGTTGGTCAAATTAAATTAAAAAAATCATACAAAATGAATAACATTTTATTAAATTTGACCAACTACAGCAGAAGTTTCTTTTCTTTTTAGATTAGACTGCCTGCTCATTTAACAAATTGAAAATATGAAAAATAAGGTGAAAATAAAATGTTTAAATAAATTTAAACAAATGTATGTCAAACCTGTATGCCAAACTCAAATATAACATTTATGCAAGTTTTGACGAAATATTTTTTTATTTTCGATTAAAGTCGAAATAAAAGTTGTTTGAAAATACGATGAAGTGGCTATAAAGCATCTTCCAATAATTACATAATTTTTTCAGGTGTTCCATGTATGTGCACTGACAGACGATGGTCTGGTGATGAAATCATTCTTGTGTCCGGAGTCCACGCTCTTCGACCAGACGATTCTCAAGTGCAACTGGTGGTTTTACGTAGATTGCAAGAATACCAGACGTTTGTACGATACTAATATCCCGGTTTCGAAGAGTTACCAACTCATGAAAGCATTGACTTTCTTTTCGTCGTACAAGAAAGATATGCAGGACGATGGTAGGAATATTTACTTCTCGCTTACCTACCGACGTGATTGCCTATAAATGAGTAAAATATGACAACATTTTACATTATTTTTGCATCAAAATCAAAACTTTAACTAATTTGCAGGTCAACAAAATCCTGAAGATGTCGCCGGTATCAAAGAAGCTATAACCATTCTGGAGAATCATGACAGCGAACATGGTAAACCAGGCAATATCAGTAATAACTTGCGAGTCGTTACGTCTCAACCATTTGTCGACGAAAGAAACAATCACAGAGTTGCCACCAGGAATGAAACCATATCACCGATATACAGAGCTAATAGAAACTATAACGATTCTGCTAAGAGACCATCATCTAAACGTAATTCCCCACAAACACAAAATTCGTCAGAATTCAAATCGATAACATTAAACGCTGATAGAAACATTAAAAAGGACAATAAAAAACCAAGTTCTGCTGAAAACAGCAGACATCAAAGTTCATCAGAGCATACTTCCACAGCTACATCTGCAGAAACTATTGCAGAAAGAAAGCACAGAAGAAGAATGACTCTTAAACACAACAATGCCACTACCGCAAGTACTATAACAGTGCCTCTTACAAGCATTAGACCAACGGAATCCACTACTTCAGCAGTAGAAATAGTAAAACAAGAAATTCAGGAAATTTATAGCGATAATCCTACACAGGTAAGACAAGAAAAATTAACTGATCAATTAGAGAGCGCTGATAGTATGGATCCAACAATATTCAAAGATGCTAAAGATTCCCCTGCGGTCAAGAGATTTTATAGATCTAGCGCTGAAAGTGAGACTAATAAAGAAGACCAGGAACTGACGCTCGTAAACAATGAAATGGTACAAATTGTCAGACCCACTTCAATGATGAAATTGGTTGGGCAGCATGCGACACCTACTGCTACAATAGCAAAACTAGATGAAGCTATATTAGGTAAGATTCCCTACTCGCGAGTTAAAAAAGCAGTGGTTACAACACCTGAAAGACATGAAAATCAATGGCGATCAACGAACAGGTTTCGGACATAGTCATGGTATAAATTTTAGTCAATAATTAAATTTAAGTGTCATATAGAACTCCTTGTTAACTTATTTATTTCTAACAAGATACGTAAGTATGAAGGCCAATATAGGTGTTAGTAGATTACGTATTTGCTCAATATCTTGTATTTAGTCTAGTTGAGGATTCAGTCAAGTGATATTATGTTATGGTGTATGTTTTAGATGCGTAGAATTAAAACGAATTTCCTAACTGCATTTTTATTGTTTCCATATAATTTTTTTTTCTACAAAATATACGTCTTCGTTTTCATTTTAGTAATGGTTTTAACATTACTGGATTACATACATAGTAAGATGTACCGTAGATCACAGCAGCCGTCTTGAGTATACAATATAAATCCATGTCGTGCTCAAGTATTGTTGGGTAAGCTGTTCACATGACTTTAACGAAATGTCAATACTTTTCCGGCATTTCGAAATCGGTCCAGTCGGCTTAATTGTGCCTTTAAGACGACACCTGAAACAACCGACATGGGGAATGTATATTTGCGTAGTAAGTTTTAGGAGAGTAACTAAGTTTTACTATTGCAAAACATAGATTTACTTCATGGATTATAAGGGTAATGGATGTTTCGGCTCACTTAGTACTATTATTTATGACATTTAACTATTCAGCATGAGTCTAACAGTACCTACTACAGTTTTGCAGAGTAATAATGTGTACATAGGCCTCCGGGTCTATTTGTCTACACTCATATTCAGCGAATGTCATACTAATACGGTGATAGGGTACGGACTGTTTAGAGCATAGATTTAGGTGATAACTGATACGTCAGTAACAAATAAAACATTATTTATAAATTATATCAATTGAGTACCTTAACTTTAATCTTTAATTCCTTTTCTATTTCTTGAAGCTAATATGTATTTTACAAAATATTGAACGAACACATTTTCAATAATTAAAGCCCTGTCGATCCTTGAACAATATGCACTGCGTACCTTATTTTGCGTGCCATGTATAAATTATTCTTAACACATAAAACCATTACTGAACGTCTATTTCTACTGACAAATATATTGTTAAGGGTTTTTATGATATATCACAAAGCAAAATAAGTTGACCTCGATTCGTTTCTAAGATTCGGTGCAGCCTGGCTACCGAAATTCCTAAAATACTTGCACCACTAACTTGATTAAAGCAATACGTTATTGTACGTAAACAAAGTGACGTAGTTATCGTTAATATTGTGACATGACAAATATGTATGTAGTTATTATTACTCGTGAAGATTAAAAAACTCATATTTCAAGCTACATTCTAGAAAATTCTGTCCAGCATTGCTAAATCTCATAAAACACAAAATATGAAGCAAGGCGTGTAAATATATTGATTACCTACCAAAAAGAATCGCAGCATAATTGTTATCATGTAATTTAATTACATTAAAATAGTAAAATCATTTCATTGACATGATATTCCATAAAATCACGAGACCATTTCGAGTTAGGAACACGTTACTTTTTCGCTGACTTAAAGAAACAATTTAAAAATTTATCACATACAATAGGGCCACAAGCTATTAAGGCAGCGGCAGCCAGAGCTGTCGTGCAACACATACAAATCATATTTGAATGTTCGTTCTGTAAACCACATTTAATAACAACAAAGAGAAGGCAAAAACTTAAATTTACTTGAAGGATTAGATTGGTGGAGCACTAATCAATACGGAATGCCGCATTCGGGACACAAAGGCACCTCTGGGCAGCCACACTTCCGTTCAAATAGATTTCTGGTACAAAAAGGTACACAAATGACAAAAGTCGCTGCACCGATAAGAGTTAGTATTGATATGCAAATCATAAATCCAGGATGGGCTCGCCGTGTTCTGCAACAAACCAATTATTACTGATACTGTCTGGTTTGAATACATTCGTGAATCAATGATTTGAATACTATAGAATTGTTTCGGTAGGAGATCCATGTCAGGTAACTTCTTGGCCATCTGGATGTAGAATTGAATGAAAACAAAAAACATTTTAAATAGTTATTTAATATCAAAATATTTTGTAAAAATACAATTTATGCCATTATGACTTATTATACCTTCCTTTCATTCGCTTTGAATAAAACTCTTTACCCTTTTTGACAACAAAAGGTGCAACAGCACATAATGCAATTATGGATACAATTGTACTAGAACATATACAGATAGCCATGTTTACAAAATAGGATACCTAACGAAACAACCACGCGATAAATACAAGAATTTATATACCGCGAACTAAGTGATGGTAACAGCACCCTAGCTTCAAAAATCTTCTAACCCAACAAGAGACGCTTATGAGGGAAGTAGTCGCAGTAACAACCAAGCCCAAAAACATGTGGCATGAGATCTGAAACAATAATTAAAGTATATTTCGAAAACATGGATAGATTCGTAATTTTTTTAGATGATAATTGAACTTAAGCTTATCTTGTCAGTCATGAAAATGGAATCTTCTCACTTTCAGTAACACCTCTTGAATAAAATAAGATTTCGATGGGAGAAATAAATTATATCACAAAAGCAGAAAGTATATTGATTGCATTTTCAAAATTTCTACGTAACCTGTGTCAAATACTTACAATGGGCTGTGGTGACAATGACTACTTTACCCTTAGCGTCTGAAGACCATCTGCGCGTGTATTCATACGCTAAAAGACAACCCTGAGATCAAGATTATCCTAGCGCAATTTAACAATAATTTAATACACATATTGGATTTATTGAAAAATCATAAGGGGTGACGGATTTCCACTAAAAATTTCACTTTTCTATATTCGAAATTGTTTTTCAGTGATGACGTTTATCTATAACTTGCAAATGTTTTAAGATTGCTTAATAAACATTTATATTCTTTTTTTATCAGTACCTCCCATACACCGTACACCATAGACCTTAGAAGATGGGAAAAAGCTAGACACACAAACTGAAGCAATGCATGCGAAATGGTGTAAATTACGATTGGAAGCATAGTGATGTGATCTAACTTCTATTCTTAGGGAAATTTGCCATCAGGCGCACGACTTGTTCGTCACTTGATATTTTTATTTATTTAAATTTTTTCTACATGAAGAAAACTGGAATGTTTTCTTAATGTGGAATTATGCTACGAAAATTAAAAAAAAAATTGTAAAATAAAAAATAAGGTATTTAATTAATAGCTATTGTAACTATAGTGAAAAATAAGGTAGTTTGCATCAATATTAGACATAACTGGTCGAAGACTGTACCACCTCAGTCAACCGTGACCATGGGACCTGTAAAGGGCCCGAAACGTCAGTTTGTTTGAAAAAACAAATATACGCGATTTAAATCCGGAAAAATAGTTTCATTTTCTATGTGTAACAATCGCGAAAACCTAAGAACTCGATAAAAATAAAAACAGGTAAATAACACACAAATAAATCAGAATTTATAAATAACCATGATACATTATTTACACACAATATAAAATATACATACGATATATAACATAAAATACATAAACAATCTATATATGCAATGCATACACATATAATATATGTATACACGTATAAATGTCAGACTAATGTGAAGCAGATTGAGAGTCCAACACGAAATTGCAGACTGTATAAATTGCTTCAAGTTGAAATCGAAATTGCGGACTGTTTTAATTGCATTTTGAATATGGAGTAGCAGAGAGTTCCAAAGTCGTATTGCCTGGTGGTGAGGAGGAATAAGAAGAATTGCTTTTTGAGCGAAGATTGCGGTGTTGAAATGCACCCTAATATTTAAATTTACATTTCAAATATCCAGGCACACATTGATGATTGATGGTAGAAAAAAGGGTGGAAAGCATTTTGAAAACACGACTCTGGCGAAACGTAAGTCACTTCATCTCATTGCGATATGCAAAATGTGGTCAAATTTACGAAGGTCATAACAGAACACAGAAATAACATAACAGAAACAGATTTGCGAAAGCTGGAAGGCAAGTTAATTGTTGCAAGTACACCCTAATAAACTTTTACAAAAATAAACGTATAGTTTATTATGAAAGCTTTATATTGCAAAGAATTGCAACAACCTGCAGCCATGGGAGTCAAATCTGTCTTCGTGCTATCGTCATTCGCGCAAATGAACTACCGCGCATTCAAACTTTCGTGCAACTGATCATTCGCGCAAATGAACTACCGCGCATTCAAACTTTCGTGCAACTGATCATTCGCGCAAATGAAGTATCATGCATTTAAGCTTTCGCGCAACCGTCTTCGCACTATCGTCATTCGTACTCACGTAAGAACAGGCGCTTGTCACCTTTTTCATCAAAATAATGACAACTAACTAAACTACTGACGTATGAAGAGGCTGTATGGCGGAACCTTTGTCTAGTTACCCAAATTATATGGTGTAAATTTATTTTAAAAAAAACGAAAATATTTACAGTTTTGATTTCGCTATAACTTCGTTATGATAGAGGTACAAATTTTTGAAGAATAAGTACTAAATAGTACAATTTTGGTACATTTTTTGGTACCAAATAAGTCAGGATTCGTTAAGATGCACACGGCACTCTGAAATCTCAACATATTTTGTCTTATTTCTCAGAAACTCACCAGCAGATCGAGCTGGAGTTTCCTTTACTTTAGAGTACTATTAAGGTACAAATGTTTGGAATAAGAAGTTTTTATAGTTATGAAATAAACACTGGTAATCCGAGGTACACCCGCCATATTGACAGTCAATATGGCGGGTGTACCTTTGATATTACTATAACTTCGTTCTGATGGAGGGACAAATTTTTTAAACAGTGGTACTAAATAGTACAAATTAGGTACATTTTTTTGACCTCAAATTTGTGGGTACACCCGCCATTTTTACTCTCACGAATGCGGGACACTACTCCGCCGGTCGCTACTCGCCCCTACCACCAAATAGATCTAAAATGCGTTTCTTTTTGCGTATTTCAGGTCATTGTTCAAAATGTTTGCAAGTGCCGATGCCGTGCTAGTCAATTACCTTTGGATAAAATTTGTTTGTCGCAATTAAATAAATAATAGGAATTTACGAAATTTATTTTTTTAGTGAAGGGTAAATATGGCGAAAATGCCAATCAACACATTGTATATAAGGTCATTGTCATTAGAGTAGTGTCATGAGGTTAAAAACCAGCACTTTTTGAGTTAGATGAGGTGCCTCGACAAAGTTATGAGGTGCCTCGACAAAGTTCTTTCTCCAAAATTGTTTCTAGGTATTTATTGACAGAAGGTTAAGCAAAATAAATTAATATGAGCCACACGTTTATAAAACAATACATGCGGCGCCGTAAACGCGCGTTCGTGAAACTCGCGTCGTCGGCGCTTATAAAATATGCCGTGTGCATAGACTCTAAATGCTGGGAATTCTGAGGAACTGCTGAGTCTACCAGAATCCCCTGGTGGATCACTCTCAAATATCTGGCGATGTAGAAGGCATAGTCATTTGCACCTTTGTGAGCAAGTTGTCAAATTCTCAACCCACCATACTTTCAGCTCATCACATTGTCACCTTACCATTCAAATTTAAAATTGTTTATTAAGGATTACATGGGTCCATGGTGTTAGTACATTAAAGAAAACCCTACAAATATGTTAGTAATAATGTCACATAATGAAAATACAATAATAAAAAAAATAATAATACATATGGACATTCAACAATAAAAGTTAGTTACTAAAATATTCATGTTTAGGATTTATATCAGCCGATACCCAATGCCTCTGTAAGGCACTGTCCGGTCTATCGACTAATATCTTAAGCATGCTGTTGGGGCTCTCTGGCATTCTGCGTCTTACTGAAAGTATTTTTTTGTGTATTACTGCATAGAAACAGTCAATGTGAGCATCGGCAAACATATCAGATGCACTGCAGTACCTGAGCAAGCCCAACAGTATCCTAAACATGTCGTTATAAAGGATGCGTACCTCGCTGAAGGTCTTTTGGGTATACCTAGTTCATAGGCCGCAGTAAAATGATTGACAGTATGGTTTGAACAAGGTCACTTTTACTTCATTTTTTTCCAGCACCCATAACGGTTTCTTCTAACTTGGTTCAGAACTGGGTGTTTTGAGCAGTGTCTCAAAGCGAATTTTTTTGCTGTAGTATTCACAGTACAGAGAGTTGCCTAATTTCAGACCAGATATTTGGTGCGGTTGCCTGCTTATTTTTATTATTAAATATTTCTGGGGATAGTGGTTATATATACAAAAGGAAGAATGTATAAAAAAGTAAATGCGTAATTCGCATGATTGTGTTTTACATGATCAAAACCAAGTGGATAGTATAATTAGTGTCTTGGGTAAACGTAATTTATATACGCAGCCTCATTGGAACCGTGCACAGTGTTTCGAAACCCTTACAGAGGTGACTTTTCGAAATTAGCTGTGATGCGATTATAAAACAAACAAAAACTCCCGAATATAGTTCCTATACTGGATCTTTGATTTTTATATTTAGAGATGAAAATAGCTGGATGAGTAGCATTCAAAATGCGAAATAATTAACAAAACTATTTATAATATTTATTTATATTATACAACAGCAAAGCTATATAAATAGTATCTTATATACCTGTTCATTCAAATTCGTTTCTGGCCCGTGGACCACATGGTTAGTTCACCTGCGTGGACCACGGGCAATTATTTCTTTCCGTGGGTCATCTAGGTCCACCTGGATGGACCATGGGCAATTATTTATTTCCTTGGTTCACTTAGGGATTTTTCTTTTCTCGTGAATCACCTTATTATTAAAATCCCTTTAACAATTCAATTGCAAAGATATAGTACTATTTTATTGTATATTCATGAAAAAATTTTATGAAGGACTAAAATACGAATAAATTAAATTTTAGAAGTTTAAAATGAGTAGTAAAGAACTTAATTTCATCCTGCGAAATAGGTGGTAATAATATTTAAGTACAAGTATAGAAAATATTAATGTTGGTGTCTTAAAATGCTAAGGACAATTTTATTTTTGTTATATATATATTTTCATTTTCGAGTTTAGCCAACAATACACAAGTTTTATAAGTATTGTGAAATTTGTGGATTTAGTTAAATAATAATATTAATAAATATCACACAATAAACATAAAAAAGACTTTCTGTGCCTCAAACTGTAAGTTATGCATATTACATATTTTAAAACGATATATATGTATTATAATCGCTAGCATCAAACTGTTAATGTTTGAGGTGGACCACCACCAATATAAGTTGAGTGTATTTCTATTTTATACGTAAGAGATGAACCACGGAAAGAAATAATTACCCGTGGTCCATGGGCAAGAAGCGGTTCAAATCATGATAATAAATATTTGGTAATATTAATATTTTTCGAGTTATAACCATTTTTGTAAGTTTTTAGATTGAAAATCGAAGCTTTTGAAGGGAGTTTTCGTCAAAACCGTACAAAATTGATACCCGAGAGTTTTCATGCTACGTTTATGAATATCAAAACACATCACACTCGCTCAGAAGTCACTTGAAATGCCACCTCCGTTAGAATTTTGTAACACTGTGGTATCTTTTTTACCGTTTAGGTATGGAACCTTTGAAACGTGGATACGTAAACTATGGAGTAGAGTATTTATTAAATCAAAAATAAAATATATTTACAGAAACAAGTAAACTACAGAGTACATTGCTTAATGGAACAATGTTACTAGAAGGCCTTGTTAGGACAACACGGGCTTTTGCACGTTGACGGTGTAATAGTCATTTTTTTTCTAAGCGGCCAGTAATGTTCCGCTATGACTGGCCCACACGAAATGCAGCCAACAGCTAATAAAGCGGTTAATACAGTCATGCAAATAATCATTGCGGTGCCTTTATTTCCTTAAAATTTTTTAATGCACCTAAGGAATTTGTGAATCTCAAATTGCCTATAGCAGACTGGGAAGCACGCCAAAAGAGTGGCTGAAGCGACCAGGGCATATAGGGACAAGCAAATCATTTTTCAGAACTTTATGGGCAATTGCAAGCCACCTTGCAGACTGCTGGGAGTGGGAGTAGCAGCTTTGAGCCGCACTTCGACTCTGAAAAGAATTAAAATGTGTATTTAAAATGTAACTAGTTCATAGTTAAGAAGTTATTTCAATGTTTAATCATAAACTCTCACCATCTCTTATGTTTTATGATTATGAATCACATAAAGCAGTCCAATGGTCTGGGTTCATTAATAAAAGTTGCATACTAGAGCAAATATCGAATCTAATTTACCACAAGAACACCTATAGCGGGACAAGCGGATAAACTATAATATTTTCATTTTATACCATTTTTATTCATGGTACGAAACCTATGATTTTTTTAACTTGAACGCTTCAGATAGTGTTTAACTAACCTTTCGGAATCTTTGCAATTGTTTGGTGTTACATTGGTGCCTTAATGAAATAATTTTGAGGCAATTTCGCCTCCAGTTTATATTACTATCACAGGAGCGAGATACCGTATATTCTCGCTCATAATTTAGAGTAATATTTCAGATCTAATTTAATTTTACGTTAAATTCCCATGACAGCGACAGTTCGTGAGCCTGTCAATATTTTGAACAGAATATTTTTTGTTCATAACACTGGCAGAAAAACTTCGACAAACTAAATTTCGCGTCCCCGAATTTGAAATTAAGCAAAAAAATCCTTAGAGCATATAGGACTGGTGGCGTCATCGATAGGCAGCCCCCTCTGTCAAGGTACATATAAGCAAAAACAACCATCGCACAATAAACACTACTTCCGAATCGATGTTTTTTCATTTCCATTATCGAATTCACCGCGTCATACTCCACGAAACACGTCGTCTTGTGCTATACAAACTTGCAAAAAATATCTGCTGCATCCAGTCTAGCCAAAGATGGAATTACATTCCATACATAAGCCTATTTTTTACATTAATTGCATTGACTTACAAATAAATGGACGACGGGCCTAATACAAAAACCACGAAAAAAATGTCCCAAGTCAACCTATTTAAACGTAGTGACATGTCAAGGAATATGAAAAAGCTAAAATGTTGAATTTAAATTGTAATGTCATCGCAGTACTGTCTAATTTTGCTTGCTTCGCTGTCAGTCCAACAAACGAAGACTAGAGCGTGAATGACGCTCTGTATACGATTTTAACGCCCTATAAGTTTTTAGCGCGGACCCGACGTCCATATAATTGTAAGTCAATGATTAATTGCTAATTTTCTATTTAAAGACTTTTTTTCATAATGATCACATTGATTCAAATTTTTATTGAATTGATATTCAATTATTTTTTGTGAAATTACTCCACTACTTTGTTATAACTATTAATACAAAGATCGAACACTCAGAAAAAATTATTTCGATCCGGCCGGATTCGAACCGACGTCTTCTAGCTTACCGTGCCAGACGCTATACCAACTAAGCCACGGAACGAAACAGCGGACCTCACGAATTTTTCTGTGTGCTTGCATCGTGTCTTTGTATTTGGTTTTACAACGACTTTTTGGTCGTAGCGTATCTATGAGAAATCTATGAAATATTTATCACCCAGTTAGTACCTTTACAGCTACCAGTCCTGGCGAGAGATGTCGCTATTCACTGTATATCAAATTTTTATTGAATTGATATTCAATTATTTTTTGTGAAATTACTCAACTAGATGTCACGCGGTCGCCGCGCGGCGACCAGTTACCACGCCTTCATGTACATTGATGGTGAATTTGAATTCTATTTACTAGGCAACAATATTTAAATTCCTCTGAATAATACTACCGCCGCGTAGCCCAAATTCAAGCCAGTCTCGCACGCGTGCCCGGGACATTCATTTAAGCTAAAACGTAAAAGCTAAATAAATATAGTGTATTTTGCCATGACAGGCAAGAAGTCGCTGCGTGGAGGCAACGAGGGCCGATGAAATTCGTGTCGAATAAATGCGCCCTAATGGATTTTCATATTTACTTTGCAAGCTTTGTCGGGAAGTAGTCGCACGGTATAAATGACCAACTTTCCTTGATTTTCTTTCTTATTACAGTAATACAAACAAATCCGAGCATGTTGAGTAAAGAAGATTTTATTTATATACGTTTTTTATACAATCTTCCTTCATCTTGTATTCAACAATTTATTTTTCTAATTTGGAAACTGCTATAGCAATCAAAGTCATTTCAAATCAATTGATAGTGATTTGTTTGCAAAAAACTTTGCTAAATTTTGTATCCACCATTCTATCACGTAAAGAATTAATGTAATTTACCTATGTAGTTTTTAAAGATCTTATGGCAATCCAAAGTTGCCGCTGTAGACTATTACGAAAACCATAGTGTGCGTAAATGAGAGTTTTAGTGTTAGTACTCTTGACTACAGCGTCAGTGTGGACATTTCCTCAAAGAAGAACAGATGAGAAGCAGCCTAATTTGTCTCATTTTGTGCATCATATACAAGAAAAAAATCTTAATAAAGTTCGAGAAATCCAAAGGGATTGTAAAGGAAAGTGCGCTGCCAATATAGCACAGAAAGCCGCTGCAGAAGCGAAGGCTGCGCAGCAGGCCCAGAACGCGGCAGGTGCACAGGCGGCGCACATGGTAAGTGCCTCACTAACTAGCTAACAATGTAAAAAATGCAGACGTTTGGGAAAGCTTTTCTCTTCTGCAGGAAGTCTTGATGTCTCGGTGGAGTTTTAATTTACTAGTTATTGCTTATTTTAACGGTGTAAGAAAACATTGTGATAAATATACAAAACCTTCGAAAATGTGTTCACTCAACACCCATTGGGAAATTTCCCTTTGAGAAGGCCCATTGTCTATCAGCGGAACGTATTAAAATGATGATAATATCACAATGCAATGTGTTTCCAGCTCGAGAGTGGTGTAAAATGTTATGGAAATTTGTAACATTAATTTATAGGTAAAAACTCAACTAGCCGAGAAAGCGCTTCAGGCAGCCAAAGCGGCTGAAGCAGCTTTGGCTGGAAAACAGGCGGTAGTAGAACAGTTACAACAAGAAGTAAAAGAAGCAGAAGCCGTGGTAGCGGAGAATACCGCAGCAGTTCATCAACAGCAGGGCACAGTTAACGCTGCCATTCAGCTAGCACAGCAGGCCTCTGTTCAGGTAAGGTCCATTTTAATTATATTTTTGATATTTATTTTGATCCATGTGACTAAAGTTTGGATAAAAAAAGTCATGTCCTAATGAAATTTGTATGTGTTAAAAATACATTTTCAGTTTATAATCATTTAGTAACTGACCCCTTCAGATCTATCTCGACTTATGTGGCAGATACAGAGGACGTTAAGATGTATTAAGCAATATTTTAATGCAGATAGTCGTAAAATTTACAGGAAAATTATAAGAAGTGAAGTAAATGTAAACGTTGTATTGCACCTTTTTGTCTGGCTTTTTTGTCATAGCTTTGAACAAGTACTTAAGATATTCTCTTTGTCTTCCTAAATAAAGTAACCTACCCCAAAACTTCATATTTTGTCTGCTGATCAAGGCATTAATTATTTCGTACAAATTTGAGAAATTGTTTCCATTAAAATTGTTAAAAAACAAGTTATAACGTATTTTCTCAGCTTTGAAGATTTTTAAATTGCTTGTTACAAGACATGAATTTGCTTTCCCGTATAATTTAGCTAACCCATCGAGTATATAACCAAAAATAGAGACGAAATATCATTTATTTTGTTTCATAATCTCAGTAACTAAAAAAACCGACCTCAAGTGGAAGTACATCTATTTGCCAAGTTTTATTGAAATCGATTATCGGAGAGTGCATGAAACCGGATTCATCCCCTAGTTTTCCATCCTTAAAAGTGGAATATTTTCTTCAAATTTAAATAGGCCAATGCTGAGGTATCTCTTTGGAACAAAAAAAAATCATCAAAATCGGTTCACTAATGGACAAAAGCCACAGTTATCGCGAAACATATGACTTCGGCGTACTAAATGACTTCGGTGACAACTGCGCTCCGATTGACCAGTCTGCACATTAGAGTTCGGCAAGCAAATATTATATTATCGAAATCGATAGTCATATGTATATATGTAGACACTTCATTGTACAATAAAACAAATTACAAATTTTTAACTAACAAATAAAACATAATAGTACAAAGGCGAGTTTATTCAATAAAGGGATTTTTCCAGCTAAACTTTCCTTTTTCGATGTATTATATGGTATTATAATAAATAACCATTACAACATAAAAATAAATTTTCCTGATCAATAAATTTAAATGTAAATAATAGGGGTTAAAGTATGAAATTGCCGATTTGTACTGAAAATCTAAATTGTTTATTTTTTAAATTTTTAACAAATTTATTTAATCAAAATAGTTGCCATTATTATCTATACATTGCTGCCATCTAATGGGAAGGTTATTAATGCCTTTGCGATAGAACTCCGACGATCTAGACTGCACAAACTGTGTGAAAGCATTTTGTACTGCCTCCTGGGAAGAAAACTTCTTGTCACGTAGATAATTGTCCAAATCACGAAAAAAATGGTAGTCCGTTGGAGCAAGGTCTGGTGAATACGGACGAATGGTTTCTAACTGCAGTTCCTGAAGGGTCAAAATGGTTTCTCGTGCTGTGTGAGGTCTCGCGTTGTCGTGGAGCAATAATGGTGAAGATCGATTCATGAGTCCGGGCTGTTTTACTGCTAGTTTTGTCAACATGGTTCGGAGTTCGGCACAATAGACATCTGCCGTTATTGCTTGACCAGATCGGAGAAAACTATAGTGAATAACACCATGCTGAGACCACCAAACAGTTACCATTACCTTTTTATTGGTAAGTTTTGCTTTAGGACACTGTTGTGGCATTTGTCCTGGGGTCAGCCATTGCATTTTTCTTTTCCGGTTATCATAAAGAATCCACTTTTCATCACATGTTACAATTCGATCCAATATTCCTTCATTTCTGTACCGGTTCAACAAGGCAACACAAGTTTCAACACGCGTTTCTTTCTGCAGATCAGTCAAATCATGAGGCACCCATTTTTCGTATTTTTTTATTTTATTGATTTGACGCAAGTGAGTCAATATTGTGGGTAAGGTAACGTTAAACCATGCCGCTAATTCCTGGGTAGTTTGACTAGGATCGGCTTCCACTATCTCTCTTAATTCATCGTTATTCACCTGTGTGGGCGGTCTTCCTCGTGGCTCGTTCTTTAAGTCGAAATTTCCATCACGAAAGCGTTTAAACCAAAATCGCACGGTGCGTTCATTAGTAGACCCCTCTCCAAACGCAGCATTGATATTGCGGGCTGTTTCTGCCGCGTTAGTTCCGCGTCGGAACTCGTATTCAAAAATCACTCGAATTTTCGCAGTATCCATCTTTCTTGTCTAAATTGAATAACAAAAACAATTGAAAGTCGATATTCAAATGTTTCAAATTTAAAAAAAAAAAATCACAAACCATTTGGAAAAAGTTTCATTCGAAAACCTCAAACCATGAAGATTCTATGAAAATTCAAAGAACCTATTGCAATAAAACGGCAATTTCATACTTTAACCCCTAATATTATTTTTTACAGTGCTTTTACATTATTTTATATTGTAGGCATTGAAGGATTCTCTATAAACTCTGCTATCTGGGAAATCATATCTACAATTCAACAAACTACTACGTAACAGTTACTATTTCCTCGTGCAAAATCTGACATTATTCGTATAAAATCCATATATCAATTATACTCACGGCTCAACACTACGACGACGTTGATGTACTTTTTTTACTTTATCGATTGTTTAAATAAATCATTCATACAGTAATTATTTTATTATACTTGCAAATATCGATACATGTTTGATTTTTTCACTGCAACGCTAGTAACGCATGCGTAACGAATAGAATGAGATGACGAAATGGGAATTGCACTAGGTTATTTATAGCAAATATCACACAATTGAGCGGTATCTATGCGTCTTGGCTTCGCATAGATACCGCTCAATTGTTTTACTTCAAATCGACCAGTAACTTGAACTTTGCTATAATGGACGATAATTGAAAAATTGGATATTTAATAAATAACCGACGAAATGTAATTCCGTGTTGTGGTTGTTCTCACACCACCGAATATAACAGCCCCTACTGTTAGAGTTACTTTATTATAATAAGCACAAAATGTTTTTGGTTTTTTTTTCGTTGTTGGCGCTGTACTGTACTATTTCAATGCAAACGAGAGTTGATATTTATAAGCCCATTTGACTGATTCTCGGGGATGGATGACCCTTATTTCGTCTCTATTTTTGGTTATGTTCTCGATGAGTAAACCTATCTAAACTTTATGTTTTGCCTATTGCTCAAGGTACTAAGTATTTGGAACAAATTGAGAAATTGTTTGCATTAAAATTATATAAATAATCTTTACTTTTTTCTCAGCTTTGAAAATGTGCTTATTTAAAAAAAATTTCTTTATGAATATGAATTTGCCTTCTCATGTAATTTGGTTAACCTACCTTTTTATAATTTTATTTCGCGACAACGCCAATCTTCAACAATTTCTACCGGATCATAAACGTTGGAGAACAAAGTTTTACGAAGTTTTATAATTTACAGCGTGCATGCCTGCATTGCGGTTACTACCACTTTATTTGATCTAAATTAGTTTTTGCTTCAAAGTTTTGGTAGTAATTGTTGAAGAATCCCATGCCCTGAAGAAAGGTACTTCGTAAAACTTTGTTTTCTCTCTTTTAGGTTTCGATTTGAAGGAGTGACAACTGAGGATCACCTTCAGCTTCAATATAAGCTAATATTTGAAAAGAAGTATTCAGTATATGTGACAATGATTTGCATGTCGGTTTATACTTTCATAGCTATTGCTACCGTATTATCTTGCTCACAATTGTGGTTCCGACCATGCGCTCCAAATATTTTTACATGTTTTTGCAGTGGAGCTGGTAAAAAGAAGTAAAATGTTTTTTGTGTGTTGATAGAATGGTGGATATTCGTGAATAGAACTAACTGTGTTAGAAGTTAGTTTTTAACATGTGAATAGAATAAAAGACATGACTATACCATTATAACTGTTTATTTTCATAATAAAAATTTGCCAAAAAATCGTACATAACTTGATGGTTATTATGTAAATCCTATAAAAATAATATTTCTGGTCATGAATTGGCAGACAGAACTAGGTAACGTAACAAAACAATACATATTAGGTCGAAAATGAGCTTTTACAAGTTGTATTTTGGTTTAATTTCTTTCACTTAAGGGAAACTTTAATGCTTTAGTAAATTTTCATCGAGACAATTTTCCAACAACTTTCACATTTTTCTAATGTGCACAAATACAATTTTCTTATAAACACCAAATAAACCTTACCTATTATGATGCGGTATGGAATAATTATGTATTACATAAACGTACAAATTCAAGTCATGGGAATATGCGTGACGTTGCCCGTCCATTGCAGTGCGAAGTAGGGTGCACGCAGAATGGCGCTACCATCTAAGATTTGCGACGTAATATTGTTTTTTTCAGTTCATGACATTCATAATCATTTCACTGAGCGGGTGGCTGATAATTAGCTATAAAATCTACGTCTTTAGTAGCATATGAAAATGAATGAGGAATGGAAACTGTTAGTGAAAATACATCTACATACATATTTTGTAGTGCTTGCTCACGAGTCAAAGCCGTAGCGGGGATGTAACGTCGTAATGTCGCGTGTCAAGTTGGATTAACGTTTACAGACTTAAATGTTCTCTCAAAAGGAGATGATGACGTGAGTCAAAATTACTCCTCAGTGGATTTCAAATGCCAGATGGCGGTAAACCAGAATCAAAAGGTTTTCCACCAAATTACCTTAATTACCTGGCTACCTTTCCACCAGAGATGGGCGACGTAGCGAGGCGATGTGCGAGGAAAAAATCCACCAATAGGATTACCTATAATATATAGTGGAAAAGGGTTAACAGGCCTAAGTGTTTGTACGTACAAAATGGACAGAGATGTGTGCGAGAGTCGCGGGTGAGGAATATGTGCAAAACGGTGTAGGAAACTAGGGCTAGTGAACTAGCAGTCAATAGATCCAGTTTATTAGAGGTAGACGTGTAGGTAGTATACAGAAAAGAAACATGAATTAGTGAAAAGAAATTTTT